CGGAGCAATCTGTGGAGCTGGAAGCTGAGAACTGGCGACTTTGTAGTACCACTTTCGTACGCGGAGTATCTGGGGAGCTGGAAGATGAGAACTGGCGAAGTTGTAGTACAACTTTAGTACGCGGAGTATCTGGGGAGCTGGAAGATGAGAACTGTACGCGGAGCAATCTGTGGAGCTGGAAGCTGAGAACTGGCGACTTTGTAGTGCACTTTTAGTACGCGGAGTATCTGGGGAGCTGGAAGATGAGAACTGGCGATTTTCTAGTACAACTTTAGTACGCGGAGTGTCTGGGGAGCTGGAAGATGAGAACTGGCGACTTTGTAGTACAACTTTAGTACGCGGAGCAAGCTGTGGAGCTGGAAGCTGAGAACTGGCGACTTTGTAGTACAACTTTAGTACGCGGATGAGTCATCTCTCGCGGCTGAGTCATCTTTCGCGGCTGCTCTGGCGCCCCTGCAGCTGAGTCATGTCTCCCGACCACCCGGCTCTCTTGAGAGGTTGACAAATTTTAGCTACTTGGCTTACTCATAAGTGGCTGCCACAAAAGAGTCATCATGACGTTAGTATGTGTGCACTTCACCTTCATGACAAACGATGTTCGCTTGGAATACACGAGTCGCTTGTCATGATCGTGACGTCGTTTACTCTCAGGTCGCCCTGTTCGTGGAAACTTCAGTGTGAAATGTACGTTCTTCAGTTCTATTTGAACCTCTTCAGCGTTGTACGTTGCACTGCCGTTGCATCGACGCATCTACGTCTACACCCCCTCACCTCTCTACGTTTACATCTTCACACGCTCACATCCGCAGATCTACCTCTCCACCTCACTACACCCACACATCTGCACATCTATATCACATCTGTACACCCACACTGTCGCTCCTTCACATCTGTCCTGTCTTTCTTTCTTTCTTTCTACATATCTTTTCTCTCGTCTCTGTGCATTTACATCTTCGCACGCTCACATCCACAGATCTACCTCTCCACCTCCATACATCTACAGATCTATATCGCACCTGCACATCACACTGTCACTCCTTCACATCCACCCTCTCTTTCTCTCTTTCTATACATCTTTTCGACAGTGCTGGACACAATTACATGTCTCGCTCTCGGGCCAACCGTTGTCTAGTTTTCATCTTCCTCTTCCTTTTTCCTTTTCCTTTTCCTTTTATTGTTTTTATTTTTCCCTTTTCCTTTTCCTCTTCATTTTCCTTTTCCTGAATTATGACAGACCCTGATGCCACAGAGAAGAGAAACAAATATGTGGGATTGAAATTTCCAAAGCATAACACATTCTGCACTTCCCCATGCAAAGAATAATGCATGATTTCACTTCCCCAAGTAGTTCTGATTCATGTGTGCCACGACATCTCCCAAAGAATGTGTGCCAACATGTGGCAACAAAGATACATCTGGGCCACAGTTTTCATGTTCTGACCAACGTATTCAAAAACACTTACAAATACATTTAGCACAAACTCATGTGCCACATATGTTCTACAAATACTTTCACAAATCCACCTCAAGGTGTCAATGTGAAAAAACAAGTGTCTTGACAGCCCATGTGGTAAACCATTCTGATGCTAGTTTTTAGAACAACAACAGAAACTGTGAGGTTATTCTTAAGAATTTCCTCAGAGGCTATTCTTCATAATAACCTCAGTGAGGTTAGATTAACCTCAGGAAACAAAATAACCTCAGAGGTTATTTTTAACCTCAGCTGATCTATAGGGTGCTTGTACTCTGTGACCAGTGGGTTGTGTTTTGTCTTCTTGTGGCTTTGGTCTTCCAACGGCAGCTGGCATCACATGGAAATGGCGTGCCCACATGAATCCCAGACCTTCTATGGAAGAATCTCAGTTATGCAAAGAGACGATTTCTAAGGTGTGGGGCTGGATATAGCTGGATCCACTTGGACCAAGACTTCAAATTTTACCGATCTTTGGTGGTTGTTTTGGTCTGTCCTTCTGCACCAAGTCCTGGGCGCCCGTCACGCTCGTGGACGGCAGTGGTGCTGGCTATGCCGTGGCGGGTGAAGCAGAACTGCGGTTCCTCATGGACGTGGCCGGTGCAGGCCTGTTGAGTGCGCATGGGCAGGCATGCCAGGATGGATATAGTTTTTTGTTTTTAATGTCAGCTTATGTTAGCTTTGTGGTTTTGAAAGAGTCGGGTGCCTTGAAACTATCAATGGCATGCTAAATCTCCGACAAAGGTCGCCCAAGAAGGCGACCAGAAATGTCGCACGAAGAACACCCGCACATCCCCACAGCACTATCGGGACCAAGTGGTGAACATGTGGAGGGAGCGGTTGACCGGGTTGACCCACAAGTTGCGGGTGGATAACTTCGTGGATCGGTCAATTTTGGGGTTTTGGAACCTTGACTCATTTACAATTCACACGCAATGACATTATGTGCGTGATGTTTTGCATGTTGGGAGACATCCAAATTATTTGCATGTTTTGTTTGCCAACTCTGCAGGTTGTGTTTGACCAAAATCAATGTTTCCAGCACGCTGTTTCAATGGGACTTTGGATGAGTTGTTCTTTGGGAAAGACCTTCAAATGGGTTGTGTCATGGTTCACCTTATATATATCTGGGTACACAGCCATGATCTGAGTTTTGGAGGTTGAACGCAACCACGCGGGTATTCAGGTATAGTCTAGTCCCTGTCAGTTTCACCATATGGGCAACTGTCAAGCAGGCTCTGTGCGTGTGATTGGAAGGGGAATTCTTCGTTGGGCAAAATTTTGATTTATATAATTTATGGTGTTTTCGATACTGATATATTGGGGAGTTTTGGGTGTGTCTCTGCACCATGAACTGTAGACCAAGATGCATCAAAATGCATTGCTCTCTCTCTCTCTCTCTTTCCACATGCGTTATCCACTGTTAGTCCGAGTTAGTTACTGAATGTTAGTGCCTGTGTCGCAGGGAACATGAAAACATAAAAACCGCACATCGCCCACGGCGCTGCTCAGGCGTGATTCTGGATCACACCTACGCTGGGAAGGCTTTGTATCACTTTTGCGAGCCTTGGTGAAGATTGCGGATCGGTGAGTCTGAAGAGATAGCACCGGACTCCGGGAAAAACAAATATATATATATATATGAAAACAGAGTCTAGGAACCAAGATGAAACAAACTGAACTGATTGGCTTGGAACAAGCTGGGCAAACTGTTGGGTTACTTGACTGGTTGCATCATAGTACAGTTAAACGTTTTTGCTCGATACCCTTTGGTCTTCTTAGCAGGACGGCCAGCTGGCCTTTTCGGTGGCTGTCCCGCTGACCATGCAGATCATGCAGGATTCATTGGATTGTTGGGAGATGTTGGAAGCGGCTTCTGGGGCATCTCTCCTCTTGGGACCCAATCCCAGGCGTGACTGTCTCAAGTTGGAAGGGGTGGACAGCTGATGTAAGCTGCATGACCACAAGCCAAGGGCTCACAAATCATCAACAGACAAGATATTTTGGAGTGTAGTGGTTTCATGACTTCCTATAAGGCTTGGGATAAACCAATCCAGTGTAAACCGAACTCGATCCACGCAGTTGCTTCGGTGTCAGGACTATGCTAAAGTACATCCAGAGCGCTTCCGCGACTCACACATCCTCTTTTGGCATACAGGAGCTTTCGGATGCTTCGGGTGGTCTGGTTTCGGGGCGGCAGCGGGTCTTTTGGGTTGTTGAGGTGGCTCTTCTTCCACATCCTGGCGTCCCCTTACCATTACTAGGATTGGATTCTTGCCCTTGCACCGATTTATGGTTCTCAATGTTCCATCCACAATAATATCTCCAATCACTTGGACAAATAAATTCTTAAATCGCTAGTTCATACTTTGCAATATTGAATCCAACTGATTTATTTTATTTCCTAAAAGTTGCCCAGAGCTGATGCAGATTTATCACCTGAGATTCCAAACCAACAACAGGCTGGTCAACACATCGGGAGAGGCATGAACTTGGTGTTTGCCCGCGTCCGCAGAATTTTGTACCAGGTTCCAGGTGATTGATCAGTGAGCGGTGGTGTCTTTGGTATGGCGTTGATGTTCCGCAGCTCAGCCATTCGTGCATCAGCGATTCGTGCAGCGAGTGTGCGCATGAATCTGGGATCAGTTCGTTATGGCTCGTGGTTGCAAAACATCACGTCCATGATCCCTGTTCCCTTCATTTGCTTCAGAAGTCTTTATATAGACTTTTTGATTTGTTACAAAGAAAGATCAAGCATCGGCTTTTTCACAGCACATCTAAGGTGGTCGGTCCATTGACAAATGGCATTCAGGCAGCGAACGAGGGTAGGACGGAAGAAGCGTGGAAGAATGCTGGTTACGTTGTCTTCGACGTTGTCACCTTTGGAGCAGCAGGCCCCGGCTTACGGGTAGCCGCAGCGGTTGGAACCGCTGTCGTCAAGACAGCCGTGAATGAGGCGACGCATGATCATCATAAGGAGAAACGGCGAAGCGGTTAGAACCACTGACACCTGTGGAATCGATGTTGATTGATACTCCAAAGCGTCTTCCAAGGCCAAATTAATTTGTAATTAGTACATGCCTTCTTCCAGCTGACCTGGACTTGGCCTGCAATGGAGTAAAAAACTTGTGGCGGCAGGCGGTGACCGTCTTACATAGGTGAAGGATGGTGAAGGCAAAAAAAGCTAAAGGATTTTATGTGTCCTACTATGTAGGCGAAGGACATTTGAAGACCCATGTCCACAATGGCTTGCACCGATTGGTTCTCCATTTTCTATCAACAATATTATCTTCAATCACATGGACATATCAATGGTTCAAAGAATATCCAAACAGACAATTCAATCATCTTATTTCCCACCTGAGATTCATCACCTGAGAATTATCACCTGAGATTCCAAACCAACAACAGGCTGGTCAACACATCGGGAGAGGCATGAACTTATGAACTTGGTGTTTGTGTGATGTTCCGCAACTCCCCGGCTCGTGCTTCTCAGCATCTTCATGACCCGGGCCGCACCCATCCACCTGGGTCCCAGGCGAAACGTGCATTGCGTCAGGAGGTCTCTTCGGCCTCTACACCCAGGCAGAACGCCTGCAGAAGATGCTTCCAGCTGAGCAGTTGCAGGTATATAACTCTTAGACAGAGGTCAGCCTAAACCAGCCTGTCCGAGTCGTCAGGCTTCGACACATGTCCAATTTTTCATAAGGCTATTTAAACTCTACATAATTGTGTCTCCAATCACCGTACCTGAAGGTACTTGGGTCCCTAGGGTAAGCCACCTGAATGTTGGGTCAGGGTGCGCACGGAGGTCCACCCAAATGACCCAAAGAAGGTCAGGTCACTCCACCCACCGCTTCCGGGCGTCGGAAGCGGTTCGACCTTTAGAGTTGAGCGGTTCGACCTTTAGAGTTGTTGGCAAGTTTGTTTGATGTGTTTGTTAAGTTTAGGAGTTGATGTTTGGTTGCACAAGCAAAGTCTCTTGTGCAAATGCGACCGAGAACATGTTGCGAAAGAAAGCTCGAAAGATGAGAAACTGCTGCTGTGGCTTTCCACGCTGATGAGTGTGTTTTTGGGGCTGGAAGAAGGGTGAACTTTCCTTTCCTGTACCCCTGGCTTAGCTTGGAGAACCATATGTATATAGGAACATAAACTGTCATGAGTCATGAGTCATAAAACTGGGATTACCGATTTGCCTGTGTCCGCAACCAGTAGGGTTGGAACAGAGGACACCATACCGCAAATGGCTGTGACACTAAGTTAGCTCACCTTTGTCGATTGGCTTGCGCTATCTACGCTTCGATTCCTTGCCTGTTGATCGCTGATGAACCAAGCAAAATCGTCGGCTCACGCATTCACAAGTTGTTTGTCATGCCTGTTTTTGTCCGGGTCATGTTCCATTTTCAAGAGTACTTGAAGTCGGATTCAGGTATGTCCCATTTTGTGCTTTCTATCAACTTCTTGCGATTCCCTGCCTTCCCCCATCTTCGCCCGTTCACTCAGTCTCCACTTCTGAGTTCACCAAGACCGACTGAGGTTTGTCAGTCTTAGACAACTCCACCATGATCCATGGGAAGCTGCATCCCATGATGGCCATCATCTCCATAGGCGGAGACCGTAGCGAATCATGTTCCACTGGATTTGTTGGCTGGAACCGAAAGAAAAACCTTTGGAGCGTCCAGGTTTATTGCAATTCTATATATATGTAGATCGATGTTCCTGAAGAACCACTCTATGAACCACTGTTTCATGACATTCATTGCGCGAGGCAAATCATTGCATATCAAGTCATTCTGCCTTGCCCTACATATATAGGCATTTGGGTAGATGCAGGGGGTTGCGTAAGCGGTCCTGTCTTTTCTTGGCACATGTTTAAGGTGCAGGTTCACTAAGGGTACAACATATACAGTGATATCTTTCAAACAACTTTTATGGGAGTGATTGAGAAGTCGTGCAGGACATTTAAGTCTTGTAGGATATGGCACATCATTACAAGCTCGTGCCAAAGGCTGATTCTTAGGAGCAGCAACCCTGGAAACCAGAGGACACCGTGAACCTTCAGGCACACAAAGTCGAAGGGCAGGGCATAGGTTTTGGTGTGTAATTCGACAAGCCCAGCTTTCCATATGATAGAATATATATATATATAGAAATGATCCTAGTTCCACCACCACATCCAATTGCATGTGTTTGGTGTCTATTGTTTTGCATAGCTGGACATACTGGATCAGGAGGATTGGCCGTTTTTGGACTCAGATGCATCATTCCAAAATCATTCCGAAGTTTCTAAAGAATTCAATAGAGTCATAGAGGCAGGAAACCATCCAAGCCCTCTCCTGTAATTGTAATCCTCATGTTGATGCACAGGAGCAGCTTTGGCAGGACAGAGTGTGCTTGCTGGCTCAGTCTTAGGAAATCAAGCAATCATCAGAGAATCACCACTGCCGCCACCACATGAAATTCCTATCTCAAAAATGGTGTTGGACATGGAATTTACTGTTTATTTTGCTTTCGTGAGTCTTTTGTCTTTTCAACCGAACTCTGCCAGGGGATTGTGAGCTTATGGTCCTCCGCCAGAGCTTTGTGCAAAACCGTCTCAGGCGATGTCAGCGACCGGCTTGGTTGAACATTTGTACACACCAGTGATGCAAGTGGGAATATCCTGCAGCCTCTCTGGTTGCCCAAACACCATGTCCCAGCGGCCCTGTTCTTTTGGTTTGTTGAGATATTCTAAGTTTGTTTCGCTTGGTATTTCGGACAGTGATACGTCGCCTTCTACTTCCATGGGACGTGAGTCAGAGTGTTAGCTCTAAGTTTGGCCCCAGTCCCATCCAGTCCCAACGTGGGGACCGTGGGTGGCACCCATCACTTTTCCTCTACAAACAGGAAACAGATGGAAACAGGTGGTCTTCCACTTTTCTTTCAGGGAGTGTAGTGAGTAGTGATCTTCAATATTCCAAGACTTGCTGACCTCCATGGCCGCCGATGTTGTTGTCGACGACCTCCACGCACGTAGTAAAAGACGTTCCGTCCCCCAAAAAACCGCGAGTGATGTTTGCCGAACTGCCAGATACGTGACGGTCTTCAATACTGAGATGCAGCGAATTGATGGTAATTGCCAATGCCCGCTGCAGGCACACGGCAGCACGGCGGCGCGAATAGCCGACGGCGCGAACAGCCGATATGTCGATCTCATGCCGTTGGGTTTGAGAAGCTAATTAGGTTGGACTCTCTACAGCTTCCCAACAAAACAGGATCACAACAGTTGGTTTGCCAGTGGCAAGTTTTGCATTCCAAGTCTCCAGTACAAGAGAATGTACAGTAATAATATGTACTGTAATAGTTTAGTAGCTGGCTTTTTGACGTACATTGAGATCAATGCCAGGTAACAGGATGTTGATGTAGGAAAAGCACCATGTTTTGCTCATGTTCCCAGACTTGGAGGGGCTAGGCACTTTTACACGTGTTTATACCCTGGCAGTGTGCTTAAGCTTGGGGTACGCGTGCGTTCATTCTGCGGTTCCATCATACAGCTGGACACAGCTGGCAGAGTTCGGTAGAAAAATGTGTTACAAAGAAGACAGCGTGCCATGGGAGTATACATCCAATACATATGGGACCCCATATATATATAATTATATATATATATATGAGTTTCCCTCCAACCCCCATGTGGATCATGGACAACACGTAAGCATTTATATTCCTGCATGTCAAGGTGGACACATGAACATGGCCCCTTCAAAGACTTCCTCTCCAAAGCATGGTGACCTAAAGGGCTCCCCCCATGCCCCATTTTGGACCCCCAAACCCACTGGGCGGATTCTGCACCGCGTCTCTGCGCGGATTCCGCGGCGCGCGTGGACTGCGCCGGCGCGTTTCGACGAGGTTTGCCGCGTGGACGAGCGGATCGATGCTGCCTTCGACGAGCAGATGTCCATCGAGGCCGGAGAGCAGAGCACGGCGAGCCGGAGCACGGCGTACGAGAAGGTCAGCGAGAAGGGAGTGAACGACCAGCTTGGGAGATCGCTGAAGATGTAAATATATGTGAACCCCTCTTCTCCTATAAGATCTATATATAAGGCTTATAAGAGTCGTGCCAATCAAGGCCCTCACTGGGCAACGAGGGCAGATACCAGGACTTGGTGTGAACTGCACAAGTTGACCAGGACAATGGCCATGGCGGGATGGGCCCCTGATACCGCTGATACCCTGACCGACCGTCTGACAGACCGTCATGGGTATCCTGAGGATTCCTGAGGTTACAGTACAATGACCCACTGATGTGAACCATTCCTGTCAGGACTCGACGTACTCAGTCTTCCCAAGTGGTTGTTGATGTAGTTTTCGTGACCCAGCATAGGCGTCTCAGGGATTTGAGCCAAGAGTTCTGAGGGCATCTCCACGGGATCAGAGTGATCGCTCGACCAGGTCATCGAACGAGGCAGCGCTGTACATATGGCGACCTGGCTGATCCACCTGATCCACTGGCAAAGAGCCAGGAAATGAAGACTCCATTGGAACAGTGGTATGGATTTTCCATGGTTTTCCACCACGCTTGTATCACTGAAACAATCGTTTGCCCCTTGCATACCGGAAGGGTTTTCAATTTATTCAGAATAATTGAGTGCAATGAATCATATGTTGGGGTGATTGAAAAGGCCTCAATGTAATAATCCCACCACGACTTTCCCGAAGAAACTCTCACGCGTGGCGATGCCTGGCATCCTGAGGTCTCCGTCTACGAGGCTGGGTGTGAAAACAGTGAAAGAGGAGAAGATATAGAAGTGGTGCATGAGTCATGAATCCTGAGAAGATTGAGTTTGTGGGTGTGTTTTAAATCATGGCCGAGTTCTGAACTTTGAGGGGTAGTTGGTTTGGTTTTGTTTGAGAGACGGATTGGGATTGGATTGGAGAAACATCCCAGTGCCCTTCCTCCAGGTGGTGCTGCTGCTGGTACTTGTGTATGTATCATGCTTGCTGGTGAGTGGGGCTATTGACTAGCATCACCCACTGCTTTTTAGAATCTGGAGGTCTCTAGAGAATTAGAAGGACTAAGATGGCATGTATACTGTATAATACTGTATATATGTCATCCCAAGTTGCATGGTTCAGAACGATTTCCAGCTGAACATGCTTTATCATTTGGTCCTATCTAGTTGAATCTGTGAGAAAATCTTCAAACTGCTTCGTCACCTTGGGCGTTGTGAGTTATTCACCTGGTCTGAGGAGGAGACTTGGCCAAAGCTTGCCTGATTGTGCAAGTGAGCCAAGGCTAGGCGAAAACTGTAGCTCTAAAAGCTCCAGTCCAGTGCGGCCCATTCCTGAAGTACACTGAAGTGGCTTCGGCGACGTGGTGCAGGGTCTCCAGAGTGAACCCGGCGCACTCATGGATCCCTGCAAATCCTGCACTATGTATGTACTGTATCAATCATTTATAGTATTTTTATATATTTATATTGTTTTCGCCGCAGCATATTCACACAATGTGCAAAAAAAAGACCAACATCAGCAAATATCAGCAACATTAGCACTGAGGCTCTTAGGATCCATGCACCCTGAGGAATCTCCTTTGTCGATGATTCCTTCCAGGATGGAGGCTGAACACTCTTCGGACTCAGACGGACTCAGACGGGCCGCACCGCCGCACCGAACTCGCCGCGCGCTCCGTCGCCCGCTCTCGCTCGCTTCATCAGGGCGATTTGGTCATCATCGGGAGCGACGGCGTCTTTGACAATCTCTTCAAAGATGAGGCGAATCGCCGCGGCGCCACGGTGACCGCCAGGTCAGTGGTCAGGGAAGAGCTGGTCGGGGGCAGCCGTACTGGGAACATCCACGCCGGAGGTCACGAGGGAGCCCATGTCACGAGGTCTGGCGCCACCACAGGACCCACACTGTGTTAGTCAGATAATATGGCCAGGTTGGTTGAAATCTGTATGACCAGCGGATCCAGCGGTGAGCCTCCGTGCAATCGAGACTCCTTGCACTACCCGCCTCTGGACTCGTCCCAGAAAAAGAGGCGGTGAGCAGACTCGT